GGCAACTGGAGACAAAACCATTACCTATGATAATTGTATTACTCAAGGGTTTTTTGCCTTCCTTCTTGGTGCATCTGAATTTTACTTGCGGGCTGCTATGTCCTATGACCGCTATGTTGCCATCTGTAAGCCCCTGCATTACACAACCATCATGAACAGTAAGATCTGCATTCAACTTGTCTTCTTTTGCTGGCTTGCTGGATTCTTTACCATCTTTGTACCTCTCCTCTTAGGCCTAAAGCTTGACTTCTGTGCCTCCAAAATTATTGACAATTTCTACTGTGATACAACTCCCCTGCTGCAGATCTCCTGCTCAGACACACAGCTCGTTGAGACCATGGGGTTCATTTCTGCATCAATGACACTTGTGGTCACATTGCTAATGGTTATAATTTCATATGCTTTTACTGCCTTAACAATTCTAAAAATCCCTTCAAGTAAGCAGAAGAAAAAAGCTTTTTCAACATGTTCTTCTCACATGATTGTGATATCCCTCTCTTATGGCAGCTGCATCTTCATGTATGTTAAACCTTCAGTGAAACAAAGAATATCTTTTTCCAAGGGAATTGCAGTGCTCAATACTTCCGTGGCCCCACTATTGAATCCTTTCATCTATACTTTAAGGAACCAGCAAGTGAAAAAAGCTTTCATGAACATGATACACAGGGTTGTTTCTTTCTCAAGTAAATGAATGTCCTGTTGCATTTTATACAAAGGAAATGAACAAAGGAACCCCTAATAATATCAATGTATCCAGTAGTAGCTTCCAATACAGTTTCTTCTGGTTTGCTTTTATTTTTTTATTTTGTATTTTTTGCCTTCATGTCTTTGATATTCATCTTTACCTCTTCTCAAGCTCTATTTGCACAAAAAAACTTTGTTCCAAAGAATTTAATTTTCTCTCTGTCCTTCAAGAGATATTTTTTTCTCATCTCAATTCCTTTACCTGTGAATATCTGAAAGAAATGGAGCTAAGCTTTCAGTCTGTCTGTTATCTTTGAATTCTAGTCAAGAATATAAAATATTTTTCCTCATTCTTCCTAAAATAAATAAATCTTTAAAAAAATAAATAAAACTAATAAAACATTGTGCACTAGAGTATAGTCCATTGAAACTAGTTGTTTAGTTTGTGTGAGAGAATTATGAGCAATTATAAATATTTCAATTAAACCTGACAAATAATATACTAGCAATGATAAGAAATTATTGAGCACACCTGCCTCCTGAAGGGTGGAACAGCATAATAATTTCAGCAAATACCTAAGCCTGGTTTGAAAATCATAATATACACATCAATTTCAGATGATTTCATGAGTATAAATGTGTTGAAGAAATTATAAATTATTAATCACACATGTTCTTGTATCTTTTGAAAGATGAAACCAAAGATAGCATTTTGTATCTCTCTTTTGTTTAACTTTCCTATAATTTCCTATAATTATGTTTCTTCCCATACATGGTATAGATTTAGAAAAGTATCATCTCATTTACTGAATTTTTTTAAAGATTTGATTTATTTATTTGACAGACAGAGATCACAAGTAAGCAGAGAGGCAGAGAGAGAGAGAGAGAGGAGGAAGCAGGCTCCCTGCTGAGCTGCGAGCCCAATGCAGGGCTTCATCCCAGGACCCTGAGATCATGACCTGAGGCAAAGGCAGAGGCTTTAACCAACTGAGCCACCCAGGAGCCCCTCATTTACTGAATTTAATATCAAATGATAACTAGGTAGATTGATACAGTTAGCAAAAAGTATGATAATGATAAAAAATAATAAATGAATGAGTTTACCTGTGTAAAGTATAGAATAATATTTGGGATTTATAAGTTAAATTCAGAAACTGGATTAAAAATGAAATATGAAAGTATGGCATTGGAAAAACATGAATTAAAAATCTATCGTTAAGGAAAGCTTTTGGAAATGGGTTATAGTTGACACTGACATTTAGAATGTACTTTAGTCATTTATTTTTCTTTAATACCAAAGAAGTTTCTTTCTTTAAAATGTCCTGATGTTTTAAAATATTCATATCACAAGGAGTCAAATTAAAAATAATCAGGTAAATTTCATTTTGGCAAATAGGAACTATATAAGTTTCCCAAAAGACAGAATATCTCTCAAGATATGATAATAGCTAAGCTGATCTGTTACATGATTTAACTAACATTGTATGCAGGAAAAAAAAAATACTTGCTCATGATCAGATTCTGAAAAAGTGTCTTTCTTTGGTTGTCAACATTTTTTAAAAACTCACCTTGTAATAACATTACGGTTTAGTAAGTTTAGCCCAATTATTTTTTATTTGCATTTTTTATTTCAATTCTAGTTATTTATCATATATTGCAAAATCAGTTTCAGGATAGAATTTAGTGATCCATCACTTAAATGTAATACCCAGTGCTCATTACAACGAGTGCCTTCCTTAATACCCATCACCCATTTGGCCTACCAACCTCCCTCAGTTTAACCATTTTTATTGTGAAGTTTTGGTGAGATTCATAGAAGGTAAATAACAATCAGTGGAGATGTAGTTTATCTGGATTAGACAAACAAATGAGACTTTTCTGTAAATTGTTGTTTTCTTCTTTATATTTCTAAGGTATAGTGTTGAACATGATGAAAAATATCACTCTGCCAAATCCCTACCTAAATATTTTAATGTATTCCCTCTGCCAAAATTTCTCCTTCTTGAAAATCTCATTTACACTGATTTCTGTCCCTAAATTGTTGATAACTCCCATGACAGAAGACTAAACATTTCCCTAGAGTATTGGTACAACTCAATTATTTTTTATTCTTCTTTTTGGGAGCTTCAGAATTTTGTGTTCATATGTCCTATGACTACTCTGCTGCGGTCTACAACCCACTGAGTCACTTGATCATTATGCTCAGCAAAATGTGCTACCAACTTGTATCAAGTTTTACTCAATTCATGGGAACTAGATTCATCTCTTAACATACTTTGAGGCACAGATCGACGTTCACTTGATGGTATTTGAATATCTAATTTTTTTAGCACTAAGTGCTAAACACTGTGCTACATCCACTGAATCACTAAAGAAAAACTCTCTAAGACAGAAAACAGAAAACTATAGCAAAAACCAATGAAAAGAGAAGTCAAATCTTTAGGACATAAATATAATTGATATCTCTAGTTAGATCCATCAGGGAAAAATAGAAGGCACAAATTACTGATGTTAGCACTATAATATGACTTCACTACAGATCCTGTGGATATTAAAATTATAATGACATAATATGAACCAATTTTTGGCAAAAATAAATATTTTATATGAAATGGATAAAATCCTTATAAAACATAAACTTCCAAAGCAGTCAGAAGGAATTTATAAATGGAAAACTCTATAATAGTTAAAGTAAATGATTCATATTATAAATGGAGAACTCTATAATAGTTAAAGTAAATGATTCATAGTTAGAAATGTCCCCTCCATACACACACACACACACACACACACACACACACACACACACACATCTAGGTTTAGATGGCTTCACTTATGAATTATACCAAAAAATTCTAAAAATGCCAACTATACACACATTCTCCAAAAAACTGGAGGGCAGAATACTCAATTCACCCTAAGCCATCATTATCATGACACAAAAACACAGGCAAGGCATTAAAAGAAAAAAATAAATTCAGAAAATTACTTATGAGTACAGATAAAGAAATTCTAAGAATCATATATAAAAATTCAATCCAATAGCATATAACAATGGTAGTATACCATGACCAAGTGGAATTTATTTGTAAAATGCACTGTCCATTTAACATTAGAAAATATATTGATATAACCCTTAACATGCATACACAAATGTATCCAACAGTATGAGAAAAAAATAATAGCATTGAAAAGAGAAATAGATGAATCCTTATCATATTAGAAACTTCAGCAACTCTATCCAAAATGGGCAGAAGTCGCAGCCATATAATTGGTAAGGACATAGTTGAACTCAACATCCAGAATCAACTGTATATAATTGACATCTGTAGACTATTTCAACCAACAACAGCTATATACCTTTTCTTCCCAAGCCCACCAAGACAGATCACATTCTGGGCCATAAAACACACTTTAAAAATTTTGAGGATTAGAATTGATACTGTATTGGGTCTCAAACCACATAGTATTAAAGTAAAATCAGTGAAAAGGATGAATGAGAAAATTTAAATTATGTGTAGATTAAATAACCCTTCTAAAAACACATGGGTCCAAAAAGAAATCTCAAGAGACATTTAAAACTTCTTTATTTATTATTTATTTATTTAGTTTTTTTTATTATGTTCAATTAGCCAACATATAGTACATCATTAGTTTTTGACATAGTGTTCAGTGATTCATTAGCTATGGAATAGCATGGAAGACCATTAAAAAAAGGGAGGGAAAACTGAATGGGAAGAAATTTAAACATTTTTTAATAAGTGAAAATGAAACAACATTTATTAAAGTTTGTGGAATGCAGTGAAAGCAATGCTTAGAGGGAAATTTATAGCATCAAATGTATCTACTACAAAACAAGAAAAATCTATAATCAGTTACCTGTTTCCACTGTAGGATATGGCAATTAAAAGGATAAAAATAAGGGAACCCTGTGAACAATTCTAATATTTGGTAACCTAAATGAAAGTGACCATTCTTTGAAAGAAACAATTTGCCAAAACTCACATAAGAATAATCCAAAAAAGGCTTATATCTATTAAAAATTCACTTAATAATTAATTACCTTCTAAAACAGCATCAAGAATTCCATGTTCATAGTTTCTTTTTTTTTTTAAGATTTTATTTATTTATTTGACAGACAGAGATCACAAGTAGGCAGAGAGGCAGGCAGAGAGAGAGGGGGAGAAGCAGGCTCCCTGCCCAGCAGAGTGCCCAATGTGGGGCTCGATCCCAGGACCCTGAGATCATGACCTGAGCCGAAGGCAGAGGCTTTAACCCACTGAGCCACCCAGGCGCCCCATGTTCATAGTTTCTTAGAATACTATTAAGATACCACCAAAACAATTTATAGATTTAGTTCAATCTCCATCAAATCCTAATAGTATTACTTTTTTTTTCAAAAATGGAAAACAACCACAAAAAAAATGGAACAGTTGATTCTCAGATTCAAATAGAACTGCAAGGACACCTGAATATCCAAACCCATCCTGAAAAAGAAGAAAAAAGTGAGAAGACTGAAATATCCCAGTATCAAAGCACACTACAAATCCACAGTACTCAAAAGAATTGTGATATTGGCAAAAGGACAGATAGAAACATGGAATAAAATGAAGAGTCCAGAAATAAGCTTATACATCTATCACCAATTTTCCTCTAGGGTACCAAGATCAGTCAGTGGAGAAAGAATAGCCTTTTCAACAAACAGTGCTGGCATAACTAGATAATCACATGTAAAAGAATAAAATTAGACTATACAAAAATCACTTCAAATACAGTATATCTGTGTACTTAGATGTAAAAGCAGACAATCCAGGTCATTTATAAAGGTTGGATATATGACCTTGGATTTGGATTTGGCAATGGATTTTTAGATATGGTATGAGCAACAAAGGATTAATTTGGACTGCATCAAAATTTAATCCTTTTGTTCATCTAAGGACATTGTCAAGAAGTGAAAATAAAATATACAGAAAGAGAGAAAATATTTTCAAATTGTGTATCTTAAAA